CACGCTCACCACACATTTTAGTAAAGGCAAGCAATGCATGGGCATGAAAATTGAACCACAGTGAGATCTTCTTAATTCAGGACCAAGGGATGGGTGGTGTGACTGAAGAAGCGTGAGCTACTTCTGTCTGTGTTGTACATTTTCTTTGTGCTGTAGCCCATAAATCTGAACCCAGCGCTTTCTTTGAGCAGTATATTCACCTAAAAATATAATTAAAGAATTGATTGCTATCACCAATAGGCAATTCATATCAGTTCATATCTTGTAAAATCAGTTAACCTCAAAAGCAGAAGTTACGCCTCTTCTAAGAATTGTTTTAAAGTTTGCTGTGTAGCTTCTTTTACAAAATACTTAAAAATCATGGAGGCAAATCTGTTTGGAGTCAGTTCCCATGCTGTCACTCACTACACCAGATCTTTTAGTTGCCACAGCTCCATCAGAATCAGTTGGATTATGTTAGTTTATATGATATGAACATGAAGGCTTCTGTTTTACAATGAGATATTTTCACATATAAAACTATATTTAAAAGTCTCTGAAATTTAAGGGCTGAGTTTGGACCGTGTATGAAGAAGAAATAGAGAAGCTGATTAGGGAAAATCTGTTATTTGTGAAATTCATAAAAAAGGCATAGGAAGACCTAATGCAATGGTCCTGGTTAGCTGAGATTTGTTGTTTCTTGAGGCAATGCAACCCTTCTTAAAATTTCTATGCTACAGAGTCTTTGCAGCATCCTGACAAGCAATGATGACAAGGCTTTTTGGTCTGTTAATCTTTTCCATTAAAGTATGTTATGCTAATTTGAGTTGTGTTCCATACTGCAGTCCCAGGAAACTAGAATGAGCTGAGGACCTATTTGGGTTTTTGAGTGGATAGGGAAGTGGATCACTTTGAAGTGAACAAATTACTTTTTGTGTTAATTTGATCAATTTAATTGTATATCTTATAACAACTGTAAAATACTAGGAGCTGGAGATGAGTAGTTTTGTACATGAAATAAGTAATATTGCTTGGGGTGCGTTTCCTTCCTCCATCTCACAGACATTTCTGTATGTGATCCTTCCAAAGGGAAAGATGCTAGATCAGGTTTTAACTAAATGTCAAAAGGGGGAAAAATTGAGAATTTTACTAAGACTACTGGAAGAGAGTTAACAGAGTAAGGACCAGATTTTCAGCCCCACTTCTCTCCCCTTGGTACTCATTGAGCTGCATCAGAAGGCAGGATCTAGCTGAAGTTGATGTGATAGGTAGAAGGGAATTCGCAAATGGTGAAAATCTGGTAGAGCTGACCTCTGTTCTAACCTCAGCTGACCATAGGCTTAGGAGGCATTGTTATGAAAAAGTAGGAGTTTGAAGGTGGAGGAGACAAAACCACCATGGTAGTAAGACAAGTGTAGCCATCATTTATGAAGTTCTTGAATCCTCCTTCACCTTGCGGCACTATATTTTATGTTTTTTTCTGTATCTATTGATCTTTCACAATCCCTCGCAGTTGTGAAAGATGAATGTCTTCCATGGTCATATTATCTGTGGGTACAAAGATGGCTGATGAGACCTGTCCAGAATCAACAGGTTCTGCTGTGGCTCGGACACAAGTTTCTGTGCAGGGTGGGTGGTTTTGGGTTCTTGATTCAGTCCGTGACACCATTTCTGCCACTCCTGCTTTTCCATCTCCTTTTGTCATCGTAAGGTTTCAAAGTATTGAGATCCTTGCAGCAGACTTTTCCTTTATTTGGGGCAGTCCTGGGTGATAGTCTCCCACAAGTTGATGTTGATCTTGCATTTTTTCAAGTTGGCCTTGAGGACATCCTTGAAGCACTTTCTCTGTCCTCCTCTTGAGTGTATGCCTTGACTGAGCTAGATGAATATAAAGCTTGCTTTGGGAACCTGGAGTCAGACATCTGCATAACATGACCAGCAGTCCCAACTTTCTCTCTGTTCTGAAGAAAGCCAGGAGTTGTGGCATTCCAGGATCCTTTCTCCCTTCCCTACATCCTGGATAAATTGAATTCTTGAACATCTGTATGGAAGCTTCATGTTATTTCAGGAGGTTATCTTTAATTCCTCCCAGCTGAGTGTACTCAGACTGAACAGCAAATTCTAGATCGTTGAGGAATCTTAGGAGAGAATTTGGCCATCACTATTATACTATAAATGTGAATGTGATAAGAAACCAACTATAGGACCAACCATGTAAAATGACCTTACAAATTTTAACTGACCTTAAACATTTAAGCTGCTTAATTTATAATGTGTGAGCTGTATAAAAGGTCTTGGCAAGTTGGTTAGCAAAGTAAAAGCAGTGCATATTTTGGTAGTTATAACTCAGAAATCACATTCTGAATTTTTTCCTGTGAATATGTTAGCAGTGAATACATTTCTCAAAATAAACATGTGATCTAATTTGTTTAAGTAAGAAGGATTTTAAGTGGAAATGAGCCACAGAAATGTGTGCCACTTGTCTCAAACAAACATGGTTTAGGCTTTTTTATTTGGGTCAAATCTATTGCTTAATTTTTTTAAAAGACCCGTGTTAGTAAGCAATCATAAGTATGTTTAATCAGATAAAAGATCCATCACTACATTTAATTTGCCCACCCTAATGCATTTTTGTATTGCAGTTCATTTGAGTTAAAACCTGATCTTTCTTCTGTTGAAGTCAGTTTGGAATTTTTCTAGTCAAGCAAGTTCAAGTGCTTTAAAAGGACTAGCTTTGTTCTTCATTTAAATGAATTGTTGTCTGAGCAACAATTAATAAAGTTTGTGTATAGCATTCTTAGAGTCTCAAGTACTTATCTGATGTTATAAGACTAAATAATTTTATAGATCATTATTAATGTGAAGCAATCTAAATCAGTATTTATGAGGTATAGGAACTCCCAGTTACTGCAATAGATTTGTCTTCAAGTTAGCTGTTGTAGCAACCAGTAAATCTACTTCCATCATATTTGAGTGTCTCCCAAGTCACTCTCCACCCCTAGGATTCCAGGATAGTTATGGAACTTCCATTCTTTGTGTTTACTTTAAAAATAACCCCTGCATAAATCATTCACCATTTCATGGAACAAAGAGTAGCATTTGTAGGGACTTCTGCTTATGTTTTGCAGTTGTACTGTTTTCTAAATGAATGTCTTAAGTTTTTTATTTATTGGGAAAATTCCAGATTTATCATGCTCCATACTGGTTATGATGAATGCAGGTGCAGTTTGGCCTTCAGCCAAAGGTTGAGGTTTATTAAGGGACATTGATTCCATGCCTGCACTTTAGATTTGTGGTTACTGCATTGAAAATATTTTTCATTGAAAGTGTAATTGAACAGGCTTAGAATTATCTGTCTGACCTTAACTAGGACAAATTGAGCTTTATATAGCAGGTATGGGATGATGTGAAAATCTACCACCATCAAGGCGTATACCAGGAAGGAGTCAGATAATTCATAAGGGTGGGAAGTTTTTTTTTGGGGGGGGGGTTGTTTTTTTGGGAGGAGGGGGGGGTTGACCCATTTCATGAGCACACTGTCTGTCATCACCCACTTATACCGACCTGTGTGTTAAAGCTGGGCATAGTCTGAACTCAGCTCTGCCTATCATTGCAGTTGGCTTTAAAATGGCTGATTGCATTGTACTCACACACCTGCAACTTAAAATGGATTTAGTTTGTCTTCACTATGATTTATGCTACAGCAGGGGCAGGCAATTATTTTGGGCAGAGGGCCACTTACTCAGTTTTGGCAAGCCATCAAGGGCCACATGACAGGCAGCCAGGGGCAGATAAGTATTCATTTTTTTAATTTTTTAGGGGCCCCATGGGCCAGCTAGAATGGCCTGGCAGGGCGCCTCATGGGCCCGGGCCGCATTTTGCCCACCCCTGTGCTACAGCAATGGCTGTGATACAGTACAGCTGGCTAAAAAGGAAGATTTCTTGTTCATGGAGAGTTTTGGAAACCTAGACCTTTTTTCTCCGTAAAATTTCTCATGCACCAGAACCTTGGAGAGGACTTCATTTGAAAACACTGACATGCAGTGTTCCATAAATAAAATGATCCATCCAGACCCACGCCAAGATGGCTACTGCCCCTGCCCCTTGCTGCTGATTGGCTTCAATGGCTGCCTGTCATGTGGCCCCACCCATCTCCAGTTGGTGGTAAGGGATGGGGCTGCATGACAGGCAGCTCTCTCAGCCAATCAGTGGCAAGGAGATGGGGGCCATATGGGGAGTGGTGAGGGGTGGGGCCATTGGGGCCCCTCGGCCAATCATGGAGGGGGGTGCCATGCTCCACCTGCAAAATGACTGCTGGGCCCCACATGCTGCCTGTGAAATTGGGGGGGGAGGGGCAGCTGCCCCAAATCCAGTAGGTCCCTAGGTATAAATATAAGGAAAGGTTGTCAAGCATTTCATTTGTCATTTTAAAGTTGCATTGGTTTAATACAGGAGTTGCCAATATGCCACATGCTGCATAGCAGCAGTGGCACACGGCAAGTGGCTCAGGTAGCAAGTTGGGCACGAGAAGAGGATCAGAGTGGCACTTGGGGAGGGTGCAGAGCTAATCTGTAACATGCCTGCCAAAAAGGTTAGCTCCCACTGAGTCAGTATATAGTAAAAACATCCTAACATGTTTTGTGCACTCCAAAGGTACTTTTGCTTCTTTTGCATCGTAAAAGTTCCTTATGTCAGTTGTTTCTCTTTGAACTTCTTATTTACAATTTAAATGTAATTTGATTTAATTAATGTTAATAACATTACACCATTCCACAAAGGGGCTTTTTCCCACTTTGACTATTCAACCTTTTCCTGAACTGGTGAAATTACATCCAAGACTACTGTATTCGGTAAAATACTTTTCAGTTTCTTTACTAACATATGTTCAAGGCAGAGCTCATCGATTGTAATTCCTGCCACTGATGATTTCAACCAGTAAGTACTTCATGATTCCAGGATTGCAGTTTTTATTTTATAAGGTCAATCAGAAATTTATAGCTTCGTTTTCACTTTGCTTCCAGGAATAAGTGCCAGAACAGACACAATATGGAAACTGCCTGCCTGTAAGTGTGCTGACACCCTCACTACTGCCAAAATATAAAGTCAGTTCTTGAGAATGTAGATTTTTCATATATACATGAAAAAAGCCTATGTTTAATACATATTAAAGACTGGCTGACACCTTACACTCTTTAGAACCAGTTGAAGAAGTAGAGTTGATCATGTTTTACTTACATGTGGAGTCTGTTGCATTCACATTTTCTGTGAAACTCTCTTAGTCTATCTGTTTACATAAGAGGCTTCCCCCCTCCTTTATTACCCTATCTTTTTTTCTTTATATGTTACATGTTGCTTTTTTTTGGCAGGTTGACTTAGGCAGGCAATATGATGCCTCCTTTCTCTTTAAGATCTTATAGCAAGGAGGAAGTCTGTCATGGTGGGCTAAAGATCTTATGCATAGCCACAAGCATTGGCAAGCTTTCACTCAGGCTTCATTCTAAACCTGTGATCCTCAATCAGGGTGTCATCAAATCCTTTTAAGGGTGCCATGGTATACAATATTAGCACTGTCAGGTGTGTAAACAACTATGTGATTTACAAAATAAACCCAGAGATTTTAAGTGAGAATCCAAAGTGTCAGAGACATTCTGATCTGTTGTGGTCTGTCAGAGTTCTTTGCAACCAACAAATTGCCCTATTATTTTTTTCGTAGTCAAAAAACAAGTGAAAACTAAGAGCTGGCATTTTCACAGAGGTACCTTGAGTTCAAAGAAGTTGAGAACCACTGGTCTAACCCCTTTTTCTAATCTTTTCTTAGAAATTATTGCTGCTGAGCAATCTTTTTAAACGGGACCATCTGCAGCCACTGGAGATACCAATAAGACATCAGATTGCTGATAATCAAAGAATTGTTTTTACTGAGTGTATCACATCCCTAATGCAAATTTTACTCCTACGTTTTGTTCTGATAATTGCACGTAACTGGTTGAGATATTCTAGCTACTACTGAAGTGAATTCTCATTTTCTGTTTGAACTACTGCTGCCACCTATATTTATGATACTGAAGAGAAAATACCTTAAATCAGATTTTTCTCTAACATTATCAGTTTCTTATGCCATTAATATAACATTCTTTTCCTGATCAATGAGACAATAACATATTATGTTAGATTGCTATGAACTTTCAGATATATAAAAAAATTAAGAGGAAGAAAGTTTTAAAACTGAAACTTTCAGTTCTAATCTGAGAGGCAACCTCACACCTTGCTAGGCAAGGCTAGAGCTAAGCAGTATTTCAGTGGGTGTATCTGCATGTGCAATTAGTGCAGAGCAATAAACTCTGGTGCAGTTTACACCAGTTTTTATTTCTCCTGGGTGCAACATTTACACATGCAACCAGGACCACAGCATATTGAGCTGGGGTGGAGCAACCCAGGGTTGGCAGGGGGTGTCAGCCCTTGGCTCCAGGTGATGGTGCTGGGTGGCAGAAGGGCTGGCTGGAGCACAAGGGTGCTACAGTGTGGGCGTCTAGCGGGCAGGCAGCCCTCGCACCATAACACCCTCATGCCCCAGCCAGCCCCAGTCGCTGTCTACATGTGAACTGTCTACCAGAGACTAGCACTTGTCCTGGTCAGTACTATCCTATGGTGAAGATAATTAATTTACTATGCTCTGAAACAGGGGCACATGTAGATAGTGAGGTGTTACTGTGGAGTTAGTAAACTCCACAGTAAAGCACATATGTAGATGCACTCAATTTGTAACAAAATCACACTTTCACATGTCAAACCTTAATACAGTGGCTTCAAGAAAAGTTTAGAACATACAGTTCCAGGACATGTCCAGAATTAACTACGCTTCCTAGGAAGCATTTAAAATACAAAATTCCTACAGTATTTATTTTTTCTTGAGATTAAAACCATCAATGAAAGTCAGTATAACTATGCTGGTGTATCTATCCCAGCAGGTTAAGTACAATGTTCTTTATGTTTCAGACATGTGCAAGTGATATATTAAGATCACTGATTGTGCTAATTAGTAGCTTTTGGCCTCGTATTTCAGAACACATGAAAAGGTTTAATCCTTTGCTACCAGAAAGCCCTTTTTTAATCATGGCAGTTGCAGCATTTGCATAAGAAATGATTTTCTCTCTCTCTACCTCCTTCAGAGGTATTACAGAATGAAACTGGCTGAGTATTCCAGCTGCAACTCCATGTGGAAATTTCTTGGGAGGAGTTGTGTGTGCATATAGGAATAGTTAGGTCACTTGAAATAAATGGTATTGGCCAGTCCATTCCATTGTAGAAAAGTGATGCTCTTTTCTCCACTGTATGCATTACCATAATATCAGCCTGCTGTGTTGTGCTGTGTCAGAGTGTCCAGTACTATGGCACATCTCTGTCTTCTGTTTCTTGTGATTCATCTTCAGCCTTGAAAAGCAATTTGGTGCTGTAATGGCTTTCTCCCAAATTCTGGCCAAGAACCTGAGCTGGTGTAAGTCAGCAGAGCTCCATTGACATCAGTGGAACTACAGTGATTTACACCAGCTGTGAATCTCACCTCTTGTTCAAATTTAAAGAGCTGAAACCAAATGTTAGGAAATATGAAATTCTGTCTTAGAGTCAGCAGCTTTCCAGATGTGTTAATGAAACTTAAAGTTTACTAAAAGACAAGTTTTCAAAAAGTGATCCAAGAAAAGAATAAACTCTCAAGAAGAATGCCTTCCTTACAGGCTTTCTGGCAAGAGATGGCACTAGAACTCACTGCAATTTAAATAAATTAATTCATTTATTCATTGTTGAACAACTTCAGCAAGAATCCAAAATTAGAAATACTTTCACAACAGAGGGAAACCACTGGCACTTAATAAATAATGTAACTGCAGATATGAATCTTACAGTTTTAAAGCCAAAATGAAGTTGCACATGGGATTTCTTATAAATTGAATGCATTCAGTTTATAAACCTAGCTGCTTGATGCTGGCACTATGATTTCAGCAGATTAAGTGAACCATGGTGTTAAAAAAAATGAGGCCTTTATACAACCTTGCTTATAGAGTTAAAGCTTATAAGTAACCTACCTGTTCATCTCAGCCACTATTTTTAATCTGCAATGGGTATATAAACCTGATTTTAATTTACATATCAAGATCAATGTTGAGGTTATCAACACTAAAAACCTAATTGGAATCTTGTACTTTCTAAATTAAATCTTTTAAAATAAATGGCTTGTTGATAAGTAGAGATTCAGAGCCAGTATATGCAAAAAAATAGTCCTTTAGGGATCGCTTACACTGCATAATGATACGTGTAGAGATACCTAAGAGATTTCTCCATGAACTTTCTTAGGTACTAGGCGCAATCTAACTGTGGTAGCATGGAGTTCCTTCCAGATTTCTCTGCTCAGAAGCTTGTTTAGACTTAGGATGTGTATCTCTGTTTCACCACTCTGCAATGTAGTTCTGTCCTTCAGCTCAACGCTATAAGGATAGTGCATTTTCAAGGGGAAGAAAAAATGTAGATATTACATAATCTTTAAGCTGAAAGTAGGACAGAATGGCACCTTATCAGCTAATTAATTCAGAGAGGCATGAGTTTTCATGGGCTGCAACCTGCTTCCATCAGATGTTATCAGTGGACTAACACGGCTGACTACTAGTCTCAATCCTTAGGATGTTAGAAGACTGCTTGTGCTGCTCAGAATAGTGTTGACTGCTTAATCTTGCCTGCCAGGAATTCTGGTTAGATTTTGACAACACATTAGTCCCAGGCTGTCCAGCCATGGCCTTGTCTAGGGCCTTGGCCTACCTGACGCAGCTGCACATCCTAATCTGCTACCTCCTCAGCTGAGCATTGGGGTAGAATAGGTGGTCATAATCCAATATCTGGGCCTAGCCACCCGCACACTCCCTGCAACCAGAGTGGCTAACCAGGATCAGCTGCCCCTTTACCCTTTTCTATAAAAACCCCTGACCTGGAATGGGAAGTGTCTGCGTAACAAGACTTGATCCTGTACTCAGACTGACTCTTCTTTGGCTTATGCATCTACTGGCTCTCTGACAGATGTTCTGACAACCTGATCTGACTTGCCCGTGGACCCTGAGTTTGACCTGACTCAGCTTTGGTTTGATCTCCTGGATCCCTGACCTAGATGACCTTCTAACTTCTTGCTGTGCCTCACCCTCTGACTCTGTACCACAGACAGATCTTCTGGCTTCCCTGCACACTCCCCTTGGAGTGCAGAATCTGCACACTCCCCTTGGATCTTGGTTGCTTCTTCTGACCCTGGGTGACCCCCCCGCCCCAGACCTTGCCACCCATGACCCAGCATAACACAGACTTCTTTTGACACACAGCTCTCTCTACCTAGTTTTACCTACATCATGGGTAGGCAACCTTATTCAGCTGTAAGCCAGAATGACTCACTCGGGGTTGGAGGCAGGTGTCTGGGCAAGCATTTGGATGCTGCTGTTGCCACTGTCCATCTTCCCAATTGGCATGGGAAAACTGCCTGTAACTGGCACTACTTCATACAGCAGCATGGGGAGGGTTCCCGCATCACACATGCATCTCTGCGGCAGGATAGGGAAAGCACCCACAGAAGATGTCCTTCACCACTGAATGCAATTGAAACCTCATATCTATGTGCCTAATCCAAAGGTTCTGTGGGCCAGATCTGGCCTGTGGGCTGTAGGTTCAGCCCATGTTCTACATCTGATTTTACCTCTACCATCAAGATAGCCAAATGCTTGGACAAGACCAGATAAACATTTTGCAGATCGAGCTGGTTGGAAATTTTCCAGTGAAAGAATTTAGTTGAAAATTGCAAACTAGTTAACTGCTGGTTTAAGCAAACTTCTTTGAATTACTGGCTCTTCCTGATTTTCTTGTGGGATGCTGGGAAGCTGAGGATCCATAGCTCTGGGGCAACCTCACCATTCTAGAGCTTCCTGAATTTTCAGGCTGCAGACAGGGAGGAGCCTCAGATCCAGGGATCCCCACCTCAAAATGAAACTCGGCTCGTAGTTCCACAGGTTGGTATCTATCAGACTCCTGACTTGAGCTGGAGTTCTTAGGGCTTCCAGGTTTCCTGCAGCAGAGCTAGAAGACCAGGAGATTTTTTTAAAATAGTGGGAGTCCAAACAAAACCAAATTTTGAAATATCTCCATTTCCCACAGGCAAAAATTCTGCCATTGGCAGTAACATAACTAGAGCAAGTGGGGCACAAGCCCCAGGAACTTATTTAGATGGTGTGCCAGAATGGCAGCTGCTGTCACCACTGGCTTAACTACGAGCACTGCCCTGGGCACCATCCAGAGCACAAAACTTCTAAGTTACGCCTTTAACTGTTGATCTAGTTAGTCTGTAGTTTGAGTGCTGTTGGATGCTCACTTACACTGGACCTTTCATGGCAATATCTGAGTAACATTTTTCCATTATGTCTGGCTGGATCTTCCTATCCTGGTAGGTAATGACCTGGCTTCAGAAAAACATGAATTTTTCACCTCCTGTCTGGATTACAGCAATGAAATATACTTGGGCATGAAGCCACCAGCCTTTAGGAAACTCCAACCAGTGCAGAATGCTACAGCATGTCTTCTTAGCAATACAGGCTACCACAGGCACCTCAGACCTCCACTTTTTACAATGGTTTCCTATGTAATATTACATCTGGTTCATGGTTTTCGCCCTTATCTTCAAGGCATTTAGTAACCTGGACTCAGAATATCTAAAATACTGTCTGAAGCTCCATATTGAGATTAAGGACCAGCACCAACAGTTTTGCTCCACCAGACACAGTGGAACTTCCTATCATAAATCTGAAAAAAATGGAGCTTGCTTGGAGACCACTCTGAGACAGAAGTAAAGGCTGGGACTTTCATGAACCTCAGCATCAGCCATTCCAAGTACAAGGCACACTTCTTCAGCTTTCCATTCTCTAACATGGGCCTGCCCAGTTGACAGCCCATGGGCCACATCCAACCCACAAGGGATTAAAATGTAGCCCATGGGCTCCTGCTTCGTCCCATTGCTTCTGATGCTGCAGTAGCCCCAGGCTCTGGAGCAGGGTAGCACAGCATGAGGGAGCCCTGTAAGCCTTCTGCTTGCATGGCAATGGGAAGAAAGGGTGTGTGCGGGGGGGAGAGGGGGCTGATGTCCACATCATGAAGAGCAGGTTGTACAATCTATGTAGTGTGTTCCCTGACTGCTCAACATTTAGATGTCCCTACTCTCAATGTATATCCAAAGCAGTGTTCAGATTTAAAAATGTGACCCTACCAAAGCTAAACACTCCACTGCCACACAGTGGGTGTGTCTACACAAGATGCTTTACTGTCCAGTAGACTAATCTACTGTGTGGTAAGCTGTCACTATTTACATGTGCACACATTTACTGTGCAGTAAATTAGTCTACTGTGCAGTTAGTCACTACCCATAAATACAGGGTAATAGATGCATGTGTAGATGCTGGCCAGGAGCAAATTTGCTCCTGGCCAGCCCCAATACTAGGGGGCCACAGGGGATGGGGAACCCCCTTAGTCCTGGCACTACTCAGCTCCTTACTCCCCCCCAAGAGCTGAGAGCTGAGCAGCGCTGAGCTGGAATAGCTCTCTGCCCCCAATCCTGGTGCTGTTCAGCTCCTGGCTCCCCACAGGACCTGGGAAGTGAGCAGCACTGGGACTTGGGTGCTTCCCTGCTTCCCCCTGCAGCCCAGGGCTGGTTGGGAACTGTTCCCATTCTGGGAAATCTCCATGCATAAGTGGGACAGTTCCTGGCCAGCCCTGGACTGCACAGGGAAATCCTTGTGCAGCCCAGAGCTGACTGGGAGCTACCCCAGAGGTGGGGACAGCTCCCAGCCAGCCCCGGGCTGCACAGGGAAGCTCCGCTGGGCATAGGGCTTGTCCCCATGTGCACAAGGCAGGCGAGATCTGCAGCAGCAGCTGTCATCTGGCCCCATACATATCAGGACTCCTCTTGAGGTCCTCCAAGTAAATCCCCGGGCTATCACACTCCCAGAAAAGGTTTACTGTGCATTATTTTACTGCGCAGTAAGCCCTTATAGCATTACTTGCACATGTAGACTGTCCCAGTGTTGCCTTTGGGAACAAGATAAGAGAAAAAATAAATCAGATGTGACAGGCTGTTCAATGCAATACAGGAAAGCTCTCAGATCATATGATTAGCCATATAAGAAACCACATAGAACAGAATGAAATAGAATAGTATGGTAGTCTGATGTAATAGTATCAGAATCTGGCTGCAAATTTTCAGCCAGGCCTCACTACATGTCCACCCCTTCTGAATTAACAAAACTGCACATGAACACATATATCCCTGGATCACTGGTGCAATTCACAACTGTAAAAATTCTAGCATTGAACTGACAGAGCAGGAGGTCAGGGACTTGAAATTTGTTCCTAAAAACTATTAGACAACAGGTATAAGCTAAACATCAGGGCATTGGCAACACATAGGGGGTGCACGTGCACCCCCTGATCATGGCGGTGCACCCCCTGCGAAAAGGCCCTGTCAACACTGCCAGTGGCGCCTGCAGGCAGTTGCTGCTAACCATCTCCCCCCCACCCCGGTGGCATCTGTGTGTGGTCCGCAATCACCACTGGCTGCTGCCAGTACTGCTGGTGGCATCTGTGGGTGGTTGCCGACTGGTGGTCAGCGCTCAGCACCCCTCCCACACACTGCCGACAGTGCTGCGGCCACCTGGAGGAGCTCCCTGCTTGCCACCGCCATGCTCCTGCCGCCGACAGCACTGCTGCTGCCTGCAGGAGCTCACCATGCCCCCCCAGCCTCTAGGGGCACGTGGCATTCATGCATCAGGGCAACTAAAGAGGAAATAAATTCAGCAACAGTCTTTGTGGAAGAAAAAAACAGTCCTGGGAGTGACCTAAATACTGCCAAATTGTGATGTATGTCAATAGTGACATAAATAGCTGCTTTTTATATTTCTTTACTTCTTTGACTTTACCTCATTCTTCCTGTCCACATTCTAAGTGAAATTGTCATGTTCAGCGTCCTAAGAATAAGGGGCATTAAAGCAACTGGAGGTTAATCTGGTGGTATTTGCTTGCTTGCTTGCTTTATTTATTTATTTATTTTTATTCAGTGTGCATGTCACCTCTCCTAACAAAGGCTCAGAGCAGCTTACAATAAGAGAACAGAGCAACTTATAAAACAGGAGAACAAACAAGAGAGAGAAACTACTGAAAAGGCACCTAGAATATCAACATAAAACAAAGACCCTATTAACATTGTCCCAGCCTAGTTTTGTTTGCTCAATGCCTACCCAAATTGGAAAATCTTGCAGCACTTCTGAAAGATGTCCAGGTTCAGTTTCTAGCAGGTCTCAAGACAGAGGGAGTTCCAGAGCAAAGGAGCAACTTCTGAGAATGACCTTCCATGCGTTTTCACCTAGCAGATTTGGCACATTGATGGTACTTGCAGGAGTTGCTCTTTACTGACCTTAGGGATCGTGATGGGGCATAACGGAAAAGGTAGCTCCTTAGATATGCAAGGCCCAGATCATTGAGGACCTTATAGGTCAAAATCAGCGCTTTGAAAATCACCTGGAAAGCTATTGGGAGCCAGTATGGACTCCAGCCAGCATTATACACTTCAGGGGAGCCATTCTGCTGCAGAAGGTAGGCCACTGCATTCTGCACCAGCTACAGCTTCTGAATGGTCTTCAAAGACAGCCTTATGTAAAGTGCACTGCAGTAGGGCAGCCTTGAGGTTGCAAAGGATAGTGGTGGTCAGATCTGAAAGAGAACATTGCAGCTTTCTCACCAGTTGGTGCCCCTAGCCACCACTGCCACACAAAGATCCAGGTGCAGCAGGATCCAAGTTTGCAAATATAAGGGACAAGGGGAGGCTGAACCCCATCAAAGATATATGTCCTAGTTTCCACCTCAGGTTAAGTGATCTACCTACCATCACCTCTGTCTTGTCTGGATTCAGTTTTACTTAGTTCACCTGAATCCAGTCCCCAGTTGCATCCAGGTGCTGGGAAAGGACTGACTGCAGAACCTGGGTCAGATGAGAAGAGGTAGAACTGGGTATAGGGGAAGATACAGAGGGGTGTGTCACTGCAGTCCTACCCACCTTCCACCTGTGTGGCATGTAGGTTCCTCCTTCCAATACATGTTCCCTGCCTGTCCCCTGCAGTTTTCCCCCGCTGGTCAGGAGCAGGTGCTGGAAGGAGTAACCTGCACAGTGCCACTCCTGTCCCCAGCTGATGCAGTCTTGAGAGAGAGTCCCAGAGCCTTTCTTGAACCACTTCTGCCCCATATTGATGAATAGAGAGCCAGGCTTGGCCAAGGACAGCAGCGGCACATAGGTCTCCCCTTCCAACCCCCACTTCCAATTAGTGGGGAACATTGGAGAGGGAGGGAGGCAACAGGCAAGGAGCGGAGGCTGGAAGGAGTAAACTGTGCATCGCCACCACTGTTCCCAGCCAAGCACAGCTGCTCACTCAGTTGTTCCCCAAATCCCCCCAGTTAGAGCGGGACAGGAGTCATTCTTCCCAACCCTGCACCCCCAGGTCAGCCAGCTCCTCAGTATCCCCTGCTGGCCCAGGGGCCATACCTCAGCCCCATGTCCCCATTGTTAAGGAACAGTATGCAACACCCGTCTTCAGTAAATTCTAGTTTCACCCATGGCTGGGTGAGATCAGCATGTGGCTAGCACCTCACTCCAAATCTCCACAAAGTCTTACCTAGCAACCTTAGAGACACATTGACATCTCAGCAATGTTGTACATGTATATGTTGATCCTATGTTGAACCTTAACAAAAGATCTCTGAATAGACAATTAAAGGATTAACTTTTCTGTGTTTGTGCCTGATTTCTTAATTGTGCATCTACATTTGTTTTTATAAGTATCATTACTTTAACTTCTAGACCTAATCCTGATCCACCAGAGGCAAGAGACAAGCACTCAACCAAGACGTCATCTTTGGAAATACCAAAAAATACTGCTGAGCCAGAGGATCTCTTTGATGACATCTAACTATGAGTTTTGTCTGTTTTTGGTGAGAAACTGAAAAAATAATGTTTATATTCGAAACAAGCTGTTAAACCATAATGTTTTATTATACTGAAACTGACTTAAGACCCCCATGCAAAGGTGGTTATTTCTAAATAAGAATACATTATTCTAGTCTATCTAGGTACACATCCATTGTCCAAATTTTTCACCCCAGAATTTTAGTTTCTTGAGCTTCCAAAGTTTGGGCCATTCTGCCATTCATATATTATTAGTGTCATTCTGGTGATGCAAAGTAGCCTGAAACCAATTCAGGGTGTGAATGAAAATTCATAGAATAATCCTACAAGGTCATAGGCCTGTTACAGTGGATTACTGTAAGTGTCTCTAGGACAGAGAATGTGTCTGAGGAAAAAGGACATGGCCAGGACATCTTTATACCCAGATGTGGAAATTCAGTCTGAAGGACATCTGGAAGTCCCACCTTGCATGTCCTCAGGAAACACTCTACCTTTGTATTCACCCTAACAGTTGCCCACTTTCTTGAGTTGCTCAACACAGTTCAAACGCAGCCCAGGAGTTGTCATTGAGATGCTTATTAAAAAACAATGAGTTAAAAAATTATACCTTGTAACATACAATAACAATATAAAAGTAATTTTGTAAGTTCCTTAAATCCAACAGAAGATACTTTTCTAGGCTGAATATGATTTCAATATGCACTGTAAAATGTATTTTTGCCTTTGAGAGTATAATATAAGTCAATATTCTTTTCTTTTGTATTGAAATATAGCCATTAAAACAATCATTTATGATGCTTTAATGATTTTTCTTATGATGATTTTTTAAAAGAATAAATGCATTAAAATGATTTCTTTACTGGAGGGGAGGGTGGGGTTTGTTTGCCTACTTTTATTTTTTAGGTTGGAAGCAGTAAATGTAAAGGTTGTAGATGGCAAAATACATGAATGCCTGATTTTTTTTCCTGCCTGAGTAATCAGAATTCATTTATGCTACACATGAAATCCCTGATTCTGCAAAGGTTTGCACATGTGTTTACCTGGCAGTGAGCCTACTCAAGCATGTAAAATTAAGCATGGGCATAATTTTTTGTACAATCTGAGCTTTGCAGATAGATCCCCTATCCTACTAAAGCTCTGATCCAGCAATATATTTAAGCATGTGAACAGTCCCGCTGCAGAAAGTAGGATTATTCAACATCTTCAAGTTAAGTACTTGTTGCATATGTTGTATCTTAAATGCAGAATTCAGTGAGAACTGGTATGAAGCAGATTTGAAAAATCAGGCTCTGTAGACCCTGATCTGGCAAATATTTCAGAATATGCTTAATTATAAGCAAAAGATTTGTACTTAAAATTAATCACCTGTATAAGTGTTTGCATTATTGGGGCCCTGAAAGAAGAATTAGATATCTAAATTTAGCACCCATTTTTGAAACAACATTATAAATTATAAAGTCAAAACAGAAATGGTTAATGTATTTTGCTTGCTACAAAGATTGTGTGCCTGAGAAATGACAGGATTACAAAAGGCCTATTCAGGCATCCATTCATAGACATCGCCTGATTTAAAATCTTTCAATGCTGATCTGACAGTGCTTTCAGCAAATGTTTGTATATAGTCTCAATTTCAATGTGAAAATACTCCATGACTTAACCTGAAATATAAAAGCTTGGAAAAATTGTGCCTGAAGCAGAAACTGTAGTTAAACTGAGCTGAACATCCTTCAAAATTCTTCTTTCAAGATACTGTTAGTTTCTAATAATAAAATATTGTTTAAAAAAATAACAACTGTTACAGTCAATTGGCAGATGTAATAAATCCCTAGAGATGTTTTTTTCAAAAGTTTGTATAATCAGGTTGAAAGTTAGGCAGAAAAATATGCAGTATTGCATATATCTTCTATTATAGGAACACAAGTGTATCAGTAGGGGTAGCTTTACAACTACTCTGGTTTTCTGGAAAACTACGTTTGTGTGTTTATGTTGCCTTGAAGCATAAAATAACAGCTTCTACACAGGACCACTGTGAAGATGTACAAAAAACATTCCATGTATGATGCTTACATGATGGGAGAAGGTGGTACCTTTACTCAGGAGCTTTTGCTGACAAAAATATTCCAGTGGAATTTAATAGTTGGAAGTCCTACCAAATATAACAGCTTAAGGATGCCCTCCATTGGGAGAACTTCTTGGTGAAGCACTCAGACATGGGCAAACTAATCTCCCTTTGGTACAGGTTTCCTGCAGAAGTCCCAAAATGTCTGTTTTAGTCTTATACCCCCACTACTCTGACTTAGGAAAGTAAATCTAGCCCAATATATTCAGTGTCTTTCATAAACCAAGCCTAGCAGATGTTGTTTCCTATCTAAGAACTTGTAGCCAAGTTATAACACTTCTATAATACCTGTCCATAACATAAAGAAAAAAATGTGAGTTCACTGATGGCACCATAAAATGATCATAGTATCATAGTACTTAGGGTCAGAAAGGACCTAAACAGATCATTAGGTCCGACCCCCTGCCCCGGGCAGGAACGGTTGCTGGGATCATATCACCCCAGCCAAATATCTGTCCAGCCTCCTCTTGAAGACCCCCAAGGTAGGAGAGTACCATCTCACTTGGGAGCCCATTCCAGAGCCTGGCAGCCCTAACCATAAAGTAATGTCTCCTGATGTCCAGCCTGAACCTTCTCTCTAACAATTTGTGGCCGTTACATGACAGTGAAATTCTGCTGTCAGATCTGCACAGCACCCCTTGAATTTGATGGTGTGTTCTCCTCCTGGATGCACGGAGCGCTTTAATTGTACATTCATGTCAATACATTCTTTGCAACAATAAGAGACAAAAGATATATGTGTATATCCATGTGTATACAGAAAGCTAGTTACATATTTTTAAATGAAAGCTCAGATTCTGCAGCAATGTGTGAATTCTGCACCCATGAGATTATGCAAAATAGGAGAGCCCATGATGATATGACACAATGAAGCACAATGTAGAGATACCTCAGGTTGCCCAGGCTGGATCTATAACGGGTAGAGCCATGTCAGTGCAGTGCTCCCTCTGGGCTGAGAAGCATGGCTAATTAGCCAAAATGGAGCACCGTGCTAGCATAGCAATATTGGTTCTGGGCTCCAAGCTGAGCTAGGTCAGGTACCTCTACATAGCAATGCATTGTACCATATAGGAATACCATACAGAACTAAATAGAAAAAAATCTAATTAAAAAAATATAGAGATAAGACTCTCAAGATTTAAAGCCATATGACATTATAAAACTCAGCTTAAAGCTCAAACATCATCATTAAATTAAGTCCATTCCTCAATATTGCCATACAATATAGCAATATTTATGGCATTATGTTTTTTGTTTTCTTCAGTTTAAACAGTCCTTTTTAAATGTACCATTAAGGAAGGGTAAAATGTGTAGCTGTTTCACAGTAGGTAAAACATGCTGTCTTTCATTAATTTTTAGACCCCCACAGTGTTTTATACTTCTAAAATAACTACTTACTAAGCGTATATGTTTTTATACATAATATTTCATCATTTGAAGTCTGTGTTTATTCAACAAATCTTTACATTCTGAAAGATTTACATCCTTTTTAAAGAGAGAGAGAAAAAAATGTAATAAACTAAATAGTTACTGTTTCTTGAGCAATTGCTATATAAAATACTGCCCTTGGGAGAGAAATATTACTTCTTTGAATATGAGATTACATTTTGGTCAGCTATATCATGATCTCATTAACTTTTCTTTCCCACTACTTACTTTCAAAAGTAATCACTCTTTACAATATGTGTATACAAAACAACATGTACATTAGACTTAAATGAATTATTTCTTCTTGCTTTCTTCCTTGTAACATATAACCTCCATGTATATGTACATGATGCACTTCAGATGCTCAGTGCAATTTGGTGGGCTGATAACAGACTGGCACTTTATTTGAATAAGGAGGTGTGGGGGAAAGAACCCTCTTTAACTTAGGATGTTAGATATAGCAGTACATTTAGGATTAATAAACATTTTTCAAGGCTTGCCATCATCCTCTGTAGAAAAAAACTGTGGAAACGCTGAAGTAGAAATGGTAGGAAAAGAAGTTAGTAAAAACAAGTCCAGCCATGCTTAGTGGTGGCTGGAAGAGTGTCTGAACATTTTCTGAGTAAAATGAGTTTAAAAAAATGAACTGCCCACCCTCCCAAATGAAACTACAGCAACTTGACCATCTTCTTGCCTTCTGGAAATTACTTCTAAAGTCCCAGTTCCCTTCTATACCCTATTCAGTTTTCTTGTTCTATACTCAGAGGAACAGCTTCACTCTCCCATATTTCTGCTTTCATTTCCTTCCCTGATCCTATATTCCCAACAAGTATTTATCCTACATTTCTCTTTAGCATCCTTCCACCATTTTCTACTTTCTGTGGTTCTTAATGCAAAGCCTGACAAGATCTCAAAAGCCTTCCTTCCTTGTGTGCACCAAATAATCACCTTCCCTTTCTAATCCCAGCCCAAAACATTCATTTAATTCATATCAACATTAATTCACTGGTACAAGGAAAATAAAAATCGATAATTCTTCAAAAAGGGGTAGTGTTGAAAAAGGAAATGCTGGGCTGGAGAGAGATTACTAAAGGAGTCCCCCAAGTATTAGTCTTGGGATTGATGTTAGTATTTTCTTTAATGGACTTTGCAAAGAAGTAGGAGCATACAAGTAAAATCTGTTGATGACCACAAGTTGAGGTGCACCCCTGCCTTC